TTCCTGTAGAAGAGGGTCCTCTACCATCCTCCCAGCAGTTAACCTCCCCTATCCTGTTGTCAGCCATCCTCCAATCCCATCAGAGTGGTCTAACCTCCAACCCTCCTGCTGGGGCTAACCTGTGCCTTTGCTGTCTAGGAAGAGTCGCTTCTGCTGAAGGACTGCAAGTGCCGCTCCCGCCTCTTCCCCAGGACCTGGGACCTGAGGCAGCTGCAGGTGAGAGGGGGAGTCAGGCCCACGCCTGCCCTCCCGACCCCGCTCACCTGGCTCTGTAGTGGCCCCTTCACCTTCTCCTTCTCCCTGGTCTCTCTCGCTCCTCTCCCCACACCTGCTCCCCCTTCCCTCTGCTCCCACCTGACCACATTGGCTGTGCCCTCTCCCCTGTGCCTATCACCTTCACTTGTTCCTCTCTATCCTCCTCCCCCTACCTGTTCCCCTCACCTGCCCCCTCACCTGTTCTTTCTCACCTCTCCTCAGGTGAGGGAGCGCCCTGTGGCTTTGGAGGCTGAGCTGGCCCTGACACTGAAGGTTCTGGAGGCCGCCGCTGACGCTGACTTGGTCCTGGTGGATGTCTTGGACCAGCCCCTTCACACCCTGCACCACATCCTCTCCCAGCTCCGGGCCTGTGTGAGTCCTCGGGGCCCAGGCACCGGGGTCTGTGGACTCTGAGCAGCGTCCTTCCCCTGTGGTGGCCCAGGCCCCACCTCACACACGGCTCTCCTCTGCCCACAGATCCAGCCTCAGCCGACGGCAGGGCCCAGGCCCCAGGGCCGCCTCCACCACTGGCTGCACCGGCTCCAGGAGGCCCCAAAAAAGGTGAGTGAGCCGGGAAGAGAGGGACTGAGGTCTGGGGAGCCACTAGGAGTCCAGACCCTGGACAGCCCCTGACCCATCCCCTTCTCCCTACAGGAGTCCCCTGGCTGCCTCGAGGCCTCTGTCACCTTCAACCTCTTCCGCCTCCTCACGCGGGACCTGAAATGTGTCGCCAGTGGGGACCTGTGTGTTTGACTCTCCCACCAGTCATGCAATCTGAGATTTTATTTATAAATTAACCGCTTGTCTTAATTTATTGCCACCCAATCGCTATTTATGTATTTGTGTGTGTAAACCCAAGTCACCTCCAGGCAAATGTTTATTTTTCTACTTTTTATAACCCTTGTTGAAATAAACAATGAGGAAAAGACACCCATGACGTGGGACTGTGTGTGTGTTGGTGTGTATTTCCTTTGTGTTGCTGCCATAACAAATTACCCTAAAAGTAGCGTCTAGAGCAGCAGGTTCGTTGAGGCTGTGCTGGCCACTGGGGTCCCCAGGCCCCATGTCACCATCGAGTACCTGGAATGCAAGTGGTGCAACCTCATTTTGTCAGTGAGTGTAATACATACCCCAGAATTTGAAGATTTACTGTGGGAAAAAAATGTAAAACAGCTTAATTATAATTTGTATATTCATTAGATGTTGAAATGATAGCACTTTGGATGTATTGGGTGAAATGAAGCATCTTTAAAATTAATTTAGAGCCCAGATGTGGTTGCTCAAGCCTGTAATCGCAGCACTTTGGGTGGCTGAGGTAGGAGGATTACTTGAGCCCAGACCAGCCTGGGCAACATAGCAAGATCCTGTCTGTGCAAAAAATTAAAGAATTGGCTGGGCATGGTGGTGCAAGTCCATAATCCTAGCTACTTGCAGAAGCTGAGATGGGAGGATTGCTTGAGGTCAGGAGTTCCCGACCAGCCTGAGCAACATAGCAAGATTCTGTCTCTTGTGTGATCACATCTCACTGCAGCCTCAAACTCCTGGGCTCAAGTGATTCTCTCTCTTCAGCACCATCCTCCACCCACCCCAGCCCCTCCTGGAAATGGGATTACAGGCTTGAGCCACTGGGTCCAGCCCATTCTCTCTCCAAGAAGCCCCTGAATTGTATAAGCAAACATGAGGTCTCAGTAACCCTGGATTGGCCCCCACAAATGAGGAGGACAACTTGGATCAAGGATCCCTGCTGAGTACAGTTGGCTGAACTGCTGGAACAAAGAGTCCCCCAAATACAGTGACCGTGGATTACAAACCAAAGAGTGTCATTCTCCAAGAGCTCCTCCTCCCAAGGTGAGCGCTCCCCCTGGTAGGATGGCCCCACCCAGTCATCCAGGGGCCCTGGTTCCTGGCAGTTCTGTGCTCCACAGTCCCCGGGGCAGGGTTCCCTCACCATCTTCACCCACCGGACCCGACGGCAGCCTTGAAAAGCCTACAGACCCTTCTCAGAATGAAAGAACACGTGCAGGACAAAGGAATCCAACTCTGATTGTAATACAGTGATCAAAATATTTTTTCACACTGTGACATAGCAATTCATGTGCTTCTTCATTAATGCATTAAGTAAAAAATCACCCGTGGCAGCTTTAATAACCACTGTGACTTGGAAGCAGAGATGAGCATGAATGATATTTCAAGGTGCCTGCTGGAAGATAACGTGATAGGAAATGTCTGTGATTTCTTTTGGTGACAAAGTCACAAGTTCTGCTAACACTGTTGTGGTGTGTTGCCTGCATTTGTAATGGATTTGTGCTAGACGGAAGCCTGTCCCCAGAGTGTTCCTGATCCCTGGAGCTGGGAATATGTTACGTTCCACGGCACGAGGGCCTCTGCAGATGTAAGTTAAGAGTTTTGGATGGGGATGTTATTCTGGGTTGACCTCCTGGACCCAATATCGTCACAAAAGTCCTTCTAAGAAGGAGCCAGGGGGTCAGCATCACTAGCAGGAGATGTGACCACAGAAGCAGAAGGTTGGAGAGATGTCAGGAAGGGAACCGGGGTCAAGGGATGCCGGACACCCCCAGAAGCTGAGAAAGGCAAGGAAAGAGATCTCCCCTGCAGCTTCCAGAAGGAACCAGCCCTGCTCTCACCTTGATCGTCAGACCTGTAGGAATAGAAATGTGCCTATGTTTTGTTTTGTTCTTTTTGTTCAGGGAATTTAAATATTTTTTTAAATAGTGGGAAACACATAAAATGTGCCATCTTATCCCTTTTAAAAAACATTGTTCAGTAGTGTAATTTTATTATTTATTTATTCTATTTTTATTTTTATTTTTATTTTTTTGAGACAGGGTCTTGCCCTGTCACCCAGGCTGGAGGGCATTGGCATGATCATAGCTCTTTGCAGCCTCGACCTCCTGGGCTCAAGTGATCCTCCCACCTCAGCCTCCTGAGTAGCTGAGACTATAGGTGCGTGCCATTAGCCAGCCAGACGCCTGGCTAAATTATTGTACGATTTTTAGTAGAGATGGGGTTTTGCCATGTTGGCCAGGTTGGTCTCAAACTCCTGACCTCAAGTGATCTGTCCCCACCTTGGCCTCGCAAAGCACTAGGATTACAGGTGTGAGCCACCTCACCTGGTCCTAGTCGTGTTTGCTATATTGTTCTGCAAGCAATCTCCAGAACTCTCTTCATCTTACAAAACTGAATCTCTATACCCATTAAACAACAACTCTCTATTAACCCCTCCCGCTACCCTGGCAAATATTTAGACACGTCTGTTTCTATGAATTTGACTCTTCTTGGTACCTCATGTAGGGGGAATCACACAGCATTTGTTCTTTTGAGACTGGCTTATTTCACTGACATAATGTCTTCAAACTTCCTTCCTTCCTCTCACTCTCTCTCTCTTTTTTTTTTGAGACGGAGTTTCGCTCTTGTTGCCCAAGCTGGAGTGTAGTGGTGCGATCTCGACTCGCTGCAACCTCCACCTCCTGGGTTCAAGTGATTCTCCCGCCTCAGCCTCCCAAGTACCTGGGATTACAGGCGCCCACCACCACGCCCAGCTAATTTTTTGTATTTTTAGTAGAAACAGGGTTTCACCATGTTAGCCAGGCTGGTCTCGAACTCCTGATCTCAGGTGATCCGCTGGCCTTGGCCTCCCAAAGTGCTGGGATTATAGGCATGAGCCACCGTGCCCAGACTCAGTCTCTCTGTCTTTAAGTTTAGAGACAGGGTCTTGCTCTGCCCCCAGGCCAGGGTACTGTCGTGCAATCGGCTCACTGCAGCCTCAAATTCCTTGGCTCAAGTGATCCTGCTGCCTCAGCCTCCTGAGTAGCCGGCACTACAAGTGCGTGCCACCATGTCTGGCTAATTTTTTAATTTTTTGTAGAGATGAGGCCTCAGTATGCTGCCCAGGCTGATCTGGGACTCCCGGATTCAAGCGATCCTCCTGCTCCAGCTTTGCAAAGTGCTGGAATTACAGGTGGGAGCCACCGCACCCGGCCAGAATTTTCTTCCTTTTGAAGGCTGAATCATAATCCATCATATGTGTAGACTATATTTTGTGCATCCATTTATCCATCCCTGGAAAGTGTGAGTTATTTTACACCACTAAGTTCGGGGTCATTTGTTACAGCAGGTGTAAGAAACTAATACATTCAGGAAATACCAAATTTTAGACAGAGGTTAGTGAGAATACACATGGTTTTTCCGCCCTTCCAAATCCACAGGCCCAGGAATTCTTCTGACAGGTTAGAAGACCTGCCCTGGAGATCGTTCTCACCTGCGCAGCAGGATTCGGCTCTCAGACATGTCCAGTTTTCCAGTGGTGACAATAGGACACAGAGCAGGGACCACTCACCCTGTGTTTTAAGGCCTAGATCCTGGTGAGGGGTTAGTCACATGGTCACCCATAGCACGCAGGATGCTAGAGAATGTAGTCTTGGGTTTGGTGCCAATACTAGTCTCCATGTCTAATAATGCTGAGGATGGACGGGCAAGACGGTTTCGGAGCACACATGCACACAGCAAAGTCGGCCCCAGGTTTCCTCAAGGGACTTCTTGGATGGGCAGAAGTCAGGTGACTAAGGACTCAGAAAAGTATCTTCAAGGAACTCAATACCTCTGATCAGCACGGTAGCTCACGCCTATAATCCCAGCACTTTGTGAGGCTGAGGTGGGAGGATCACCTGAGGTCAGGAGTTTGAGACCAGCATGGCCAACATGGTAAATTGAAGTCCAGAGCAGGGCAGGGCCAGGTGATGCAGCTGCCCCCAGGGAAAGAGAAAGTGACACGCATCCGTGCCCGGGCTCTGTGTTTGCCTACAGGAAAATACATCTCTACTAAAACTACAAAAATTAGCCGGGCGTGGTGGCAGATGCCTGTATGAAAATACACATGGTTTTCCCTGTCCTTCCAAATCCACAGGCCCAGGAATACACATGGTTTTCAGCTACTCGGGGTTAGTGGAGACAGGGTTTCACCATATTGGCCAGGCTGGTCTCGAACTCCTGACCTTGTGATCCGCCTGCCTCGGCCTCCCAAAGTGCTGGGATTACAGGCGTGAGCCACCGCGCCCAGCCGCTTCTTCATTTTCAAGGTAGAAGAAAGCATGGTGCCTTCCTCAGAGGTGTTGGGAGGATTCACTGCTCTTGCATGTGTAAAGCCTCCGGGACAGGGTGGCATCCGTGAGAGGAACTTGTTGTTGTTCTCACTTTGCACTGGTTGTTCCCGTTGCCTAGAATGCTGTTCCCTCCCTCCTCCTTTAGGTTTTCAACTAGATGTCCCCTTCTCTGGCTGCCTTAGAGCAGGCAACTTCTGTGTTCAGCCGACTCCATCTGATGCATAATTTTTCTCAAAAGCACTTCTTGCAGTGACATTGTACATATTTAGCTTATTTAACTTATTTTGTTACATATTTAACTTATTTTGTACATATTTAACTTATTTTAACTTATTATCCCCTCCTGGAGTTGTGGGTTGTGGAAGCTGAGGGCCTGTGCCTTCAGCCAGCTGGGAGAGTGACAGGGAGCCGCAGGCTCTGCCGCCAAAGCCACAGAAGTGCTGAGCGGGCACTGGGGGGCTGTGGTCCTGGGAGAGACGCGGGTATGTCAGCTCCTCGAGGGACAGGGAATTTTGTGTATTTTGTTATCTGCTGGGCCCTCAGTGCACAGGGCAGTGTTGGCCTATGGTTCCTGCTCAATAAATACTTTTCGAATCAATGACAGATTCAATGAATGAATAAAGGAATTGGTCGGTTACAATCAACCTGCTTCCTTTGAAGCCCTCAGCTGTACCTGAATTCCTGAGTAGACACTGGCACTCCCCTGTTCCTGCCCCCCACCCGCCCCGCTGATGGCAGGTTGGGTAGAGTTGGGAGTGCAGGGAGGGATCTCCTTTTTTTTCTTTTTTTCCTTGAGACGAGGTCTAGCTCTGTCACCTAGACTGTAGTGCAGTGGTGCAATCATGGCTCAC